CCTGTATCGGAAGGCTCTATCCGTACCGCGGCGCGTTCGCTTTGCTTATGAAACGAAATAGCCGCCATGTACAGTCAGGGATGTAAATTGTTTTATTGTACAGAAACATTAAGGGATATAACTTGAAGTTATATTATTGTACTATTACAGTTAAGGATGTTGACCTGTACAGTCAGGGATGTAAATTGAAGTTGTACTATTGTACCAGTACAGTTAAGGATGTTGACCTGTACAGTCAGGGACGTAAATTAAAGTTGTATTATTGTACTGTAACAGCTAGAGATGTTGATCTGTACAGTAATGGATGTAAATTTAAGTTGTTTTATTGTACCGGTACAGTGAGGGATGTTGACCTGTACAGTCAGGGATGTAAATTGAAGTTGTATTATTGTACCGGTACAGTTAGAGATGTTGACCTGTACAGTCAGGGATATCAATTTACATCCCTAACTGTAACGGTACAATAAAACAACTTAAATGTACATTCCTTACTGTAAATGTCAACATCTCTAACTGTACCGGTACAATAAAACAACTTATACGTGTAAAAAAAAAAAAAGATCATAATCTGTATGAGCCTTTACCCCTAATTCCAAAACTGGATTTAAAACAGTTGACGGAAACAATTGTTATCAAGAACTGTGGAACTATATGGGACAATTTAAATGAAACAAACTTCGGACTAATCGAACGTATAAAACAGCTCTTGTACCAGAATCATATACTAGTATTTAATGTGGTCAATTTTAGACATAGGCAGTTGTTAACTAACTTCCGTTGTGGTGAATTTTCCTTCTGTAGCTCTAAACGATAACAAACAGTCAGAATCCAAAAGTTCTTTTGAAGATGAACTTCATTCCTTGGTAGACTGTGCATTTTATTCTGATTAACGGCATTTTAGTTGTGAGGTCTATATTTACTTTTAATAATAATAATAATAATAATAGACTTTATTTAAATTCGATAACACATTGAGTCAATGACTCGTCTCACATGTGGTCGACATAAAATGTACAATATTTACAACATGGATATGACATACACGTACATACATAAAAACAACACACTCTTGCACCCTGTATCCAATAACAAAACTACGTAATACATATCACAGATATATTGGTATGTGATATCACACAGGCTTACAATAAAATATGTCACACGTGTATTGGAAAATAAAAAGTTGGCTAAATATCATGCAATGCATAAATTCTCATGCTGCATTTTAGAAGATTTAAGAAACGCATAATGCGTCTAATATACATACATGTCATTGTGACAAAGGGTAAAAAATTACAGAATATACGCTAATGTAGCGTGAGTTAATACCAAAGTGTTGATTAGGGCATTAGGAATAGTAATTAAGATAAA